ACACATGTAGGTGTTGAAATTAGCCTGAAAAAATCGAAGCCCAAGCTCGAAATTTGGTTGATTTCGAAATTTTTCGAAAAAAAAAAATTTTCTGAAATTTTTGGAATGGGGGTAATTGGAGAGAATTTAGAATTTTAGGGGTTTTAGAGAGATAAACTATTTTTTACTTTGAACGGTAAATAGCAGTTATTAAACCGTAAAGAGCATTTTCTTTAATAAAATATGGGGCTTCTTTTGCATTAATTGAAATTTTGGGTAGGCTAGTTAATAAAATTTAGGTGGGCTAAATAGAAATATGGTATAATATAGGGGGCAAATTAAAAAATGAGGGTGGGCTTGAGTCCACCCTTGCCCAAGGGTGGACTCGCCCCTGGCTGTATCTATATCTTAGAATATGTAAGATGTGTTATATGTAAGTGAATATAATTTAATTTGAAATAATTTTTTTTGTCAAATTAATTAACTGTATATATATCTTCTACATTAGTTGATTTCGTTTTCGAGCTAGCTCCAACATATATATATATGTTTTCTGTATGTACGTAATTTAACCTTACATCGTCGTGATCATGGACATAACTAAAACAAACGAATTCAACTTTTCGATCGGGAAACAACGTAACAACTATTTGATGAGAGCACTTAACTATTATATATTGGAGACGATGGAGCTTACACACCTAACATAGACCTAATCAATTCATTTAAAAAAAATTCTTGTCACATATATATCATTTATATATTAATTAAAAATAAATTAGACGACTAATTGATATCGAATCTCCGGTCCAAGCCGTCGAACGTGCATCTTATTCTTTCTTTAATACGATCTATTACCACTTCAAGAGTACGTACTCGACCGATATATGCAGAAATCCTCTATCTGAAAGTGCGATATATTGGATTATTGGTGCCGTATTTTCATGCTTGCTCTGCAATCCGGCCAACTTTTTGGATGCCCGTTCTATGTTCGAAACTAGGGTTTTTTTACGTGAGAAATAGCAAATGAAAGACTTTGACTTTCCAATATGGACCATAAGGTAAAACTATGATTAAATATCAAAATTTATTTTACACCAAGTAAAATAAATAAAGTATTCTAACACATATAATCGGAATATTAGGAATTAATTACGAAATTAATTTTTTTTATCGAAAATCAGAAATTCCAGATTTTTTTTTTATAAATAATTTCAATTCCAATTGCAATCTAAATAATTTTGGAAACATCGGAATTAATCATCTAAATTAAATTAGCCATCAAAATAATCGAACTATATATATAAGTAGTAATTATTGTAGGGAAGTAAACTTCGGGTGAAATGACGAAAAACTCCCTTAGGCTACTTCTCCAGTAACCGCCAATAATTCCCCAACCTATAAATAATTCAGTTTCCTCCGATGAAACAGAAACCAAAACAGAACTGAGAGGAAAAAAAAAAATGGCGAGCGATCAACAAATGAATTCCCTCCAAGATTTCCAAGAAGAAGAAAGCATCTGTAGATCCATGCTCCACCTCTCCACCGCCGCTGCCGCCGACCACCAACACCCCACCACCTCCATCCCCCACAATGCTGCTACGTTCGACTCACCGGACAAATACTCCGCCACCGCCACCACATACACCAACTCCGCCAAACGACACTCCCCTCTATTTCCGTCGTCGTTTTACGAACCAGCTTCCAAAAGGGCCACCCTTCGCCCCCCTCCATCCTCCTCCGCCGCCGCCGACGACACTCGCCACCTCCTCGGCTTCACGAAACTCCCACTCCCGCACTCTTTCCCCACCGCCGCCCCACCGTCCCCTCTCCGCCGCACACTCTCCGAGCCCATACAGCTCACCGAACCCACCAATTCCGAAGCTCCGCCTCCACAATTCTCCGAATTACCCCCAGCCCAGAACCACCAGCCGCCGCCTCAAGAAAGCTCATTCCCATATCCAAATACCCAGCCATTCATCTACCGCACAGTGTCCGACCCCAGCCCCGTTCTCAACTGCCAGGCGGCGGCGGCAGCCGCCGCCGCCGCTACTCCGCCGCGCCCAAATCAATCGAGGCACGTTTCTAGATCTCCGAGCTGCGGAGAGAGCCCCAGCCAAAAGGTGGGTTTCTAAATTCTTCCAAATATTTTTAATTGAAGAATAAAAAATAAAAGCCGTTTTTAAATTAGTAATTTCTGTTTAATTTATGCAGCGGCTGAGAAGGATGAAGGAGCGGATGAGAGAGATGAGCCAATGGTGGAATGAAGTTGTTCTTGAGGGCGAAGATGAAGATGATGAACCAGAGAATTACATTCACAAGGTCTAATTAATTTAATTCCCCCTTTTTCATTATTTAATTAATTAATTTAATTCCCCCTTTTTCATTATTTAATTAATTAATTTTATTTATTATTATTAAAAATTGTCTATTTCTGGTTATATATTATTGTTTTACGATCGTCTCGGAATCGGGATTGATCGGTTAATTTATTCATCTGTCGTATTATTTTCAGTTAACAAGCATGAGAAAAATTACGTGTAACTTCGATTTTTCGACTTATCGTTCTTGCTGTATTACGTTTACTCGCGTCGATAATGGTGAATATCGACCGATATAAGTGTTCGTATGTGTAATTTTGTTTTCTGTATAACTAAGTGGTGCTTTAACTTCGATTTTTCGGCTTACGATTTTTTTTTTTGGTGTTAAAAAATTGCAGGAAGAATGTGAGAGTGATACGGAAAACCCGAAACAAGAAGCCGTGTGGGTGGAGAAGAATGGAGATTGCCTCGTTCTTCATTTCAAGTGCCCGTGTGGCAACGGCTATCAGATTCTGCTTTCTGGCAACAACTGTTACTACAAATTGACCAACTTTTAATCGCCAGCTGGATCAAGAAATCGACTGATTTCGACTGAAAAGAACTCACTATCTTTTCGTTCTCGTTTGATTTTACGAAGAACCCTTTTGAGTACTGTCTGAGTACTGTCTATACTTTCGTATTAGTTTGTGTTCGGATATACGTACGATGATTTCCGACTGAGATTCTCTAGCAGAATATTAGGCACATTACTACTTTTTTTTTTCGTTTTCGGTGTTGAATAAGTTTCTAGTTAACTGTGATCAAATATTCATTGATTGATCGATCGATCGATCTTGAATCGGTTGTCTTCTACTATTTTTGATCTTGAAATATGAAAAATTGCATGTTATATAGTTGCAAGATTTATACTCATAGAAATCAGATGTGAAAAAAGGGGGGAAAAAAAAACCAAACATAATAAATACATAGTTCTCTATAATCAGAGATTTAATCAATCCAGAATAGGAAATAATACATAATTAAATAATCAATCAGGCACAAACAAGAGGATTAGCAATTAGATATTCTTCACTAGACTTGCAGAGTTCCATAGCCTGTTCTTTGCCAGCTTTAATATCTTCATCGCTAATTACGAAATCACCCTTCGTGTGGTACTCACTCGTCATCTTAATATTGCATCCTCCTTCTTCACATGCCTCGAATTCGGTCTCGTAGCAGATTTTTTCGAGCTTTTCTCCAAGTACGTCTCCTTCGACTAATGTGTACTTGCACGAGTAGTTCTCCGTGTCGATTGCATCGATTCTGTGCTTCAGATACTTCAATTGTGCACCTGATGTTATAAATCAAGATACATAATTAAATACATAACTAATGAAATATTTTTATTATTGATTTTTTTTTTATTAAAAAATTATATTACGTATGTACGTACCCTCGGGGAAATTAGTCTGCATGATGCAACCAGAGGTGACACGATCTCCTTCGACGGTCTCGATGCTCTTGATTGAGGTGGTGATTTTGGGGATGACGTCATGTGATTCCGTGATTAAAGCTTTGAACATTCTTGATGGTGAAACCTTGGTTTTCACTTCTTGGAAAAAACTCTTCACTCCCATTTTTTTTAAATTTTATTTTAAATAAATTGGAAAAATGAGAAATATATTACTAATGTATGTAAATGATGTAAAGAGAGGAGAAAATAGGAGGGTATTTATAGGACAAAGTCATTGTCAAATTTGAACAGCTGTGCCAAAGATTTCAAACATTCAAAGTTGTTGATAGTAGACTATTATGGAAGCTTCTCTCTAGACTGAATGATTTTGCTATTTGGGATTTTATATAATATAACGAACAAATTTGTTTCGATTTTTTTTTTTTTTTTTTTTTTTTGTTTTTAAATTCGTGTTTGAGCTTCGTTTGGTTAGCAATTGAATTGGGCTCCAACGAGCTTTAATCTAGCTCAAGTAGCTTGATTTTTTGTATGTGTTTTAACATTTTCTTTTCTAATCGAGCCTTGTCGCTTGAATGAAAATATTTGTTCAATCTTTTGTTCGTAATGTTAACACACCGAGCTCGAACGAGCTTTTAACGAACGATAAGATCTTCAAATACTCCATTAATTTGAAAGTAGGGGTGAAAATCGAACGGATCGGATCATAATAGCACTTTCGAAAAATATATATTTTTTGGAAAGGAAAACTAATTCCAATTCTATTCCAAAAATAAAAAATAAAGAAAAAAATTTGGCAAAATCGGTATATGTAATGAAAAAACTTGTTCCAAAATCGAAAATCTTCGGATTGGAATTCATATAAAGACAGAGAAGCTACTACTAGCTAGGCAGTATTTGTTCCGATAAGTTAAAGACGGGAGAAGTTCACAATTCAACCACTATACTAGTAAAATATAACTCAAGAAAATAAAACAGACTAATTCTTGCTCGCCCGGCCTTGTTTTCGATTCACCGCTTCAATGTGTTGCTGCCGAAACTTGCGTTTGTACTGCTTCACCATGGTGGCGTAATCGATATTTGGCAACGGAAATGAGGCAAGGGTATTATACAAAGCCATAGAATGGGCGTCCAACGCCTTGCGTACCCTTTTGACGTAGCGTAATCGTATAGAACAAATCTGGTCGAAACGGTCGTACCACGGGCAGTACATTTGGGGTTCGCTCAACGGCCTCATCAAATACGCACTCAACTTCATAATTCTCTTCATCTCGTCCATCATTCGCTTATTTCTGCTACGGCATAGCTCGTCGAATCTCTTCCCCACCTCGTCAGCATCGTCGTGCACAAAGTCGTCGTTATATTGAGGCAGCATGACATTGAATTGTTCGTCGGGGAATATGTGAGGTGCCTGGAGTATGTAGTTGAATATGCCTTCAACGTTGACGTAGGCCGACAGATCCTTTTTAACTTGGTCCATTGCGTCTTCGATTTCCTTTGCTAACTCTTCTGATTTAGTAACAAACTCTTCGTCCGAGCACTTTGATTCTCGCAATTTATACATATTTCTTCTTCTGTTCTTCAGTCCTGCAATTCAAACATTAGATTAATCAAACAAAACCTCATAACTTTTTTTAGTATTTTAATATGTAAGTATACATGTAACCCGAAACCGAAACCGAAACCGAAAGATCTATCAAACAACAGATATATTGCTCAGATAGGTACAATTTAGAACTAAAAAAATAACTAAAATATATATGTACTGTTTCATTAAAGAGCATCAAATTCAAATTTAAGACCAAAGAAATTAAGATTATAATATAAATTGACGAATTAAATTAAAACACCAACGCATCTTTCCTTATCTTCAACCAAATTCGAAGCACAATAACAACAAAATTCAGAAATTTATCAAAAAAAAAAAGAAAAAAGAAATTCAGATAATAATAATACACGAGGATCGGATGAAAATACATAATATAACGCATCAAAGCACAGATCTTTCATTATCTTCAACCAAACCCCCAAAAAAATTCAGAAGAAAACGACAAAAGAATCGAGAAAACAATAAACAGCGGTAACTCACCTTCTTCAATTTATCGTTCGCGCCGAAAAAGAAATTCAAAGCAAAACCCAAAGATAGAAGAACACATGAAAGTAAGAATTGAGAACGGGAATAAATAGTAGTAGAATTTAACCTATCCTTGTCGGAAATCAAGTCCTAATTGGGACTCTTTCGTATTTTGTGTTGGATTAGGACACGTAGTAATAAAACTGATTGGTATCGATATTACTAAATTACGAAAAAACCCCTAAGGTAGGGCTTAAGTATGAAAATCCTCCTTATATTTACATAATTACAAAATTAGCATAATTACGAAATTCCTTATTTAACCAGTGTTTGACCGTTTAGATTCTCTCTAGACCGAACGATTTTTCTATTTGGGACTTTATATAATACAATGAATAAATTTGGAGCTAATAGCACAGACCTCCCTGTGTTATTTCTAATTGGTGAAAAACACCTTATATTAAAAATATTAGCAAGAAACCCCCTATATTGTGTTTTTCGAAGCACACCAACCCTTATTTCGAAATTGAATGTTGACTTATATGAAATGATTGAAATACCCTTACAAAATAAATATTAAAAACAGAAAACATAAAAAAATGCAAAAAGCAATTGCAACAAAACCCACCCCAAGGTCCTCTTCTTCATCGGGACCCCTCTTCTCCAACTCTCTGTAAAAATAATGCCGATTCTTCAATGTTCTCTGTACAACACCGTCGAGATGGATGGGTGGGCGGGGATTTCGAGCATTTGGCGGTGGAGGGTCAGGGTGTCTGGGAGGAGACGGGTGGTGGAAGGAAATGGTAGCGGCGGCGGCGGCGGCGTGAAAAGGTGATTGCCGGAGGTGGTGTTGTGAGTTTGGTCGTGGTGGTAATTTCAATGGGGAAGAAGAAGAATTTTGTGGGAGACATGTTTTTTCTCTGTTTGGAGGTGGATGCTTGACGAGGTGATTGACGGTGGTGGTAGTGGGTTTGCTGGTGGCCGCGGTGGATTTTATGGGGGAAAAAATAATTTTGGGGAAGAAAGTAGTATTCTCTCTCCTCTTCTTCTTTTTCTTTTTTTTTCGTGTTATTTTTCTTTATTTAAGAAATTTTAAAAATTGCAATTTGATCCAAAGTTTTGTGGTATTTATATTTAAATCAAATAGGATTTTCCTTTTTTTTTAAAAAAAATCAGAGGGTATTTTCGATTTTTCAAGTAAAAAAACACACTCCTAGACGCACAATTCGCGCGTGCATTATACGGTGAGTTGTTAAGGTTTTTTTTGGCTTTGACTTATTATCATAGGGGGGTCTTTGCTAATTATTTTAACACGATGGGATTTTTAGCAATTAGAGATTACACAGGGGTAGATTTTGCAAAAAACCCAATAAATTTGTTTCGATTTTTTAAAATTGTGTTTGAGTTAATTCGTTAGGTAAGTGTTGGGTGCTAAATACCCACACGCAAGTGCACGTATCGCAAACAAGTAGTAAAGTAGACTCGTAAGAGTCGAATGTCGATCCCACAGGGAATACGCAAATTACCTAATCCTAAATACCAAATTCTAACAATTATGATTTTTATCCAGCCTACGCAAGTTTGTCAAATTAAATCAATTAAACAACTAAACTAATTAAGAAAGCAAATAACACGGGAAAATATCAATTAAAACGGACCTAGGATTTTATCTTCCCCCTATGCAAGAATTGCTCAGCCAAAACCCCTCAATTATGAAATATATGATTCATGATTATTAACCCGAGACACTAATTTACTCATAACCCGCTGTCGCGTGTATTATGAGTCTATTATTCATAAACGATTCACTATATGTCTATGCAAACCAATTATGAATAAAGCATTAACTAACAAGTCTCGTAAATGGCTACCTAAGGTGATATCTGTATGTCTACGACACCACATGCAATTGACACACTCATCCGGTGAAAACTACTCGAAGGTTCTTCTACTTACCATCTAATTATCAAAATAGCTCTGTCGAGTCAATCCCAATAATCACAGATAAAGCACATAAATTGATCAAGTTCATGCACTAACAATCATATCAAGTAGAAGAAATAATCATAAAATCATAATTGCATAATCTCAAGAAAACGGGTTCACCATCCCCACATAGGGTTCCAACAAAATCCTAGATGAAAAACTTAACTATTCGTAATAAAATAGAATTAATAAAAGAAATAAGAAAAACTATGCTTGAGTCTTCGTTGATCTTCGTTCTTCGCGTTTTGTGGTGTAAAATTTCGTGCTTATGGTGTAGAGACTTGTTGCTTTTATAGGCTTTTCTTGATAAGGAAGTAGTGGAAACCTAATAGGAATCAATTTCCGCCACTTTCCCCCATCATGACTTGTTCTTCGATTTTCGCCATGTTGGAGTCCGAATTTTGGAATATTGTGTAAATAAGAATTGTAGCCCTTGAAATTAGCTTTCCAATGCCGCCAAAATCACCTAATTCGGAGTTCGTATGAGAGAGATATGCTCGAAATCGTGGACACTGTCAAAGCTGTGGCGAGATTCCTTCTTCCAATTTGATTTGTTTCCTTATTTACAACTTTTTCCTTTCTTTTTGATCTTTTTTTCTTCATGGACACCTAATTCTCGTTTTTCACTTATAAAACACAAAATCAATCAATTAAAGCACAAATATAATTAAATCTAAACAAAAGATCCACGTAAAGTAAACGTATTGAGTGTAATATCTACACTCAACAGTAAGCAATTGAATCGGGCTCCAAAGAGTTTTAATTTAGCTTGAATAACTTGATTTGTTGCATATGTTTTATTACTTTTTATTCTAATCGAGCTCGAGCTCGTGTCGAGCCTCACAATTGGTTCGTAATGTTCAGAAACCAAGATCGTAGTACAAACTTTTGACGAATGATCTTGAATCAAATAGCAATAATTTTGGTTTGATTTTTTTATCAGATAATAAGGTCGTATCCTATGTCTTTCATGAGTCAATGCATGTCAAATCTATATATTTTCCAATATTTTGGAGTATATTCCAAAATTCCTGTATAGACCCCCTTTCAATAAATAAAATCACGTAGGTGTTAAATTTTAAAATTAGTGTGTGATTCATCTTTAGTAGAAGTGACCGACTCAGTCGCGTCGAATGATTCCGCGATTACAGACCGCTGCCGCTGATTAAATGATTCCCGGTCATTTATCATTTTTTTCAATTATTCTCTCCGTTGCGCATTTCGGGTTGCATCGGTTACTTTATTTATAGTTATATTATTGTTCTTCTCCTCTTCTCTATAGTGTTTTAGTGCATCGTCTATGATTCTCGGCCCCTTTCACCGTTCATTCCTGATTTCGCCACTGACACTGATATTGACTATATCTTGAAATATGAAAATTGCGTCGATGGATTGATTAACGAGATTCATTAATTGCATATGAATCGATTTAGGTCAACTACGGATTGATCGCGATTGATAAGAAAAGTGATTGCAAGATGTTATATAATCAAAGATTTATACTCATAGAAATCAGATATCAGAAAAAGCAAACAAACACAGGAACTAGCTAGTGTTCCTTTATTATAAGGATTATTACATCCATTCACTCAAAACAAAAACAAGAAAACCAAACAAACATAATACATAGTACATAGTTCTCTAATCATGGATTTAATCAATCCAGAATAGAAAACATATACTAAATAATTAATCAAGCACAAACATGAGGATTGGCAATGAGATAGTCTTCACAAGCCTTGTACAATCCCAAAGCTTGTTCTTTCCCAGCTTTAATTTCATCATCATTAATTACGAAATCACCCTTCGTGTGGTACTCACTTGTCACCTTAATATTGCATCCTTCTTCGGAGGCCTCGAATTTGATTTCGTAACAGATTTTTTCGAGCTTGTCACCAAGTACATCTCCTTCGACTAATGTGTACTTGCACACGTAGTTCTCCGTGTCGACTGCATCGATTCTGTGCTTAACGTACTTGAAGTGTGCACCTGTCATAAATCAAAAAAAATAAACCTAATTAAATTTATACAACTAATATTTAATATTAGTATTGAATTTTTGAAATATAATTAAAATTATATATTACGTATTACCCTCGGGGAAGTTAGTCTGCATGATGCAACCCGGGGTGACACCTTCTCCTTCGACGGTCACGATGCTCTCGATCGAGGTGGTGATTTTAGGGACGATGTCGTGTGATTCAGTGACCAAAGCCTTGAACATTCTTGATGGTGATGCCTTGGCTTTCATTTCTTGGAAAAAACTCTTCACTCCCATTTTTTTCTTTTTTGAATTGCTAATTAAAAGAAAGAATTGATTTTTGAGAGTTAAAATTAGATTGTTGATGAGTTGTGGAGATAATTGAAGAGGGTATTTATAGGCATTGTTTTAACTTTTAAGGGATTAAAAAAATAATAATAATGAAAATAAAAAAGAATGTCATTGTCAAATTTGAACAGCGGTACTAAAAATTTCAACAGTCAGAGTTGTTGAAAATAGACTATATATTGTTTGCTTCATAAATTCTATGGAAGCTTCTATCTTGATTCTATGTAATATGTTTTTTTTAAGAGTATGTATCCATTATATAATAATAATAATAAGATGTTTAGCAAAATTAATATTTAACGACCAAGTGTAAGTAAAATAAATTAATAAAAGAAAACAATTTCTTAAAAAATATTTTTTTAATTGAAGTAGCTAGATAATTATTGAGTTTATTCCCTATATATTCCATTTTTTATTCTTCGGGATGGGCTGCTAAGCAGGCTTGGACCTAGGCATGGTAATGAGCCGGTTTTCTGATCCCCGTCCATGTTCCGTCTCAAAATCCCCATCTTATCCTCGTAAAAATTCTCGTCGGGTGTCCCGTGAACATTATGCGGATATCCACTATTTCTTACCCCGTCAAAATCCTCGAAAAATTATAGATGTTATTTTATTCTTCGAAAATTATTCTTGTGAAAACAAGCTTAAAGCAATAAAAGATAAATTGAATTAATTTCATGAAGATTAGATTAAGTTAAATCAAATTAAACTATTTATAATTATGATGGTGTTGATAAATATAATGGCATTGTAATCTTTAATTCTTTATCTACCCTATATATGAATTTCTTGTATCTATCTTATCCACCAATGTTCTGTGCATGATGTCCAAAACAGCACTCGATTATAGTTGGCTTAACTAGCAGACATGCCACATCATTATATAGTATAGTGTGTGAAGCGAATATAATGTAAGAATAAAAGTTTAATTTAAAACAAAAGGTAAATTACGGTACTTATCGAGGTAATGTTAAATTATGAAAAATCTCGTCATATGTGGATATAATTACAACCATCTCTCTCGACTATAAATCTCCTACATGTGCACCCTACTTATGGCGTCAAATTCAACAAAATCTTCTACATTCCGTGGAATGTTCTCTAGTTTGTACTCATTTTGTGCAAAAAGTCAGTTTTAGATGCACCCCAATCTGATATTTACAAGCCAAGAGACACATTGTATGATCACTTTCTTCTAAAATATAGGACTGGAATAGAATAAAACGGGTACAAACTGAAGAATATTCGTCATAATAATCTAGACGATTCCACTAAATTTGACACCGCAATTGTAGACGTATAAGAAGATTCATAATTTTAATTATTCAAACACGAGGGTGTTTTTTCTTTTATGATTTACCCTTAACTCAGGGATAGCCGTAATTTAACACAGTGCTAATGCTTCAAAATTATTGCCGGTAACAAAGGGGTCCACGGCGGCTAAATTAGCAGCCCATAGATTTTATAAAGCAAATACAGTACTTAATTATTCTATCATAAAACAACTTCAATTAATTATTGAAAATTATGGCATATGTCACTTTCCTATAAATAGCCTCTTGCAGCTTCTATTTTCTTCACAACTCACAAATTTAATTTTCTAATTAAATAATATTCAAAAAAGAAAAAAAGAAGAAAAAATGGGAGTGAAGAGTTTTTTCGAGGAGGTGAAAGCAAAGGTATCGCCATCGAGATTGTTCAAGGCGTTGATCACCGAATCGCATGACGTCATCCCGAAAGTCACCACGTCCATCAAGAGCGTCGTGACTATTGAAGGCGATAGTCTCACCCCTGGTTGCATCAGGCAGACCAACTTCCCTGAGGGTAATATAGTAATTATTCAATTATCGAGTTTAATTTATACATTCGATATAACACAAGAAGGGTACTAAATCCAGTAAACTATATATTTCCGACGCAAATAAATTACGTGCATGCATGCATGCATGCATGAAGTAAGAATTATACGTACTCATGGTGATTGCCCTAATTTAAATATCCCAAGGAATTAAACATATATTGATATTTGATGTTTTTGTAGTGTCTTTATTAAGAAATTTTAATTGATTTGATTTAATTTGACAGGTGCACAATTGAAGTACGTGAAGCACAGAATCGATGCAATCGACACGGAGAATTACGTGTGCAAGTACACATTAGTCGAAGGAGATATACTTGGAGACAAGCTCGAAAAAATCTGTTACGAAATCAAATTCGAGGCCTCCGAAGAAGGATGCAATATTAAGTTGACGAGTGAGTACCACACAAAGGGTGATTTCGTAATTAATGACGAAGAAATCAAAGCTGGGAAAGAACAAGCTTTGGGACTGTACAAAGCTTGTGAAGAATATCTCATCGCTAATCCTCATGTTTGTGCCTGATTGATTATTTAATATGTGTTTTCTATTCTGGATTCATTAAATCCATGATTAGAGAAACTATTTATTTCTAAATATTATGTTTTGTCTGTTTTGTTGTTGTTTTTTTTTTTTTTTCTGATTGAGTGGATGTATTAATAATAAAGGAACAGTGTCGTTCCTGTATGTAATAAAAGAATTATTTTGTAATTTTGAATGTGGGAGAATTATATTGTAATATTTAAGTCTATATATTGCAACTAGATTGTAAATCATAAATATCTATAATACTTTTATTTTGTTTCGTTGTAGGTAGCTAGCATCTGATAAAATCATAAAAAGTATAAAACCAATTATATTAATTGGAATTGTTTTTTTACTTTTTATACAAATAAAATGTTAATCCCCAGGTGCAATGAAAGTAAGTAAAACCAGGGCAAATTACGCCCACCCCTGAGTTATTGGTCGATCAGATTACGAAAATCTCATCATGTTTGGGTAATTACAGTTACCTCCCACAACTATGTATTATTTTACGAAACAACCCCTTCAGAGGTAAATTTAGGGATGTTAAGTCGGTAAAACTGAACCGAAATTTCGGTACTCCAACATTTCATGCAGTTTACCGAACTGAATATACAATTTGGTTCGGTAAATAACCGAGTTACATACATTTTATGTAAAAAATATTTAAGAGGAGGGGCGTGGCTGTAATTATCAAAATAATAGGGTTTTTTCGTAATTTGGTCATACCTCAAGGGGTGGCCGTAATGTGCCCTATATTATTAATTTTATGTTCATTATATTTATAATAAAATTAAAAAAAATTAAAATTAAAAAAAAAAAAGTTCGTAAGCCGGCTCGCAAGCTTACGAACAACTAAGAATAAATTTGAATTCGGCTCATTAGAAAGCTCGAAGTTCGTGAGCTCTCCCGTACATGGGCCTTGCATTTTGGGCCTCTGCTCCCAGCCCAATGAATAAAACAACTTCACAAATTTTAATTTCAAGATGACGTCAGTGTCATTTAATTAAGAAGAACAAGTAATAACCAAGACTAAATCCATATGAATAAACAACTAAAATTATATAAAATAAAAAATAAAATAAAAGTTGAATACTATAGATTTTCCAAGTAACAAGTCACACAAATATGATTTTTTATTTTTCTCTTTTCTTATAAGATCTCGAAGTTTGGACTTTTCTTTACATGCCTACTACTTGACTAACCTTAATAAAATGGTGTTCAATTCAAATTCAGTCTTTGTCCTTTACTAAATTATTCTTACTACTGACAAACAGAAGAAACTTATCTTAGAATATCTAAATTACAAGCCTTGAAAGTCCAATGTGGAGTGCTCTAAAGACTGAAATTTCAAATTTACTAATTAATGTAATTTCATTTTATTTTATTTTTTTAATAGTATATTAATGAAAAATTCTAGTAGCATCAGAATTTATACTACAATTTGTTTGCCTATAAATTTCATCACAACTTCCTACCTTCATCACACCAATTACAATCTTCTCATTAAACAAAACAAAACAAAAAAAAAAAATCTTATTACATTATTCTTTCAAGTAAAGAAAAGAAAAGAAAAAAAATGGGAATCACCAAATTGAGCCAAGAAATCAAAGTCCAAATCTCCCCTAAGAGGTTTTTCAAAGCCATGGTTACCGAATCCGAAACCAACTTACCGAAAGTAATTCCAAAGGCCATCAAAAGCGTCGAGATTCTCCACGGAGACGGTGGCTCCGGCACCATTCGGAAAACAACCTTCGCCGATGGTTAGTTACAATATATATACCCTAAAAATCATACATGATGATTAATTTCTGTTTATAATAGTTTATGCCATATTTAGTAACATTTTTCGTATTTTTTTTAGTAATTTCACTATCTAAGAGGAACGTTACGTACGTGTGATATTAATTTCGGTTATGTATGTATACAAACAGGTTCTGCAGCCACATACAAGATACATGCACTTGAGACGGAGAACTACGAGTGTAAATTCAGTATGATCGAAGGGTCAACCCTAGGAGACAAGCTCGAATCAATTCACTTTGACCAAAAAATCGTGGACACGAAAGACGGAGGGTGCATTGTCAAGCTAGAGACAGAGTACCACACCAAGGGGGATATCCAGCTCAGCGACGATGAAATTAAGGTGGCAAAGGAACAAAACATCGGTTACTATTCTCTCGCCGAAGAAACCCTTCTTGCAAACCCTAGCATCTGCGCCTAAAAACCGCGACCGCGTCTTTCTGTTTTGAATAAGTGACACTTGTTACAAAGTGCGTAGTATGTTTTTATTTTGTTGTGTGTAAAATAAGTCTTGCGAAAGGGCAAATGAGTCTTTTAAGTATTGCCTTTAATTTCTTTGTGAGTTTTATGTTTGTGTGTACTACTAAATAAAATCTTTGTCTTTAATTTATAGACTTTGATATGCACTTTCTTATCATGTTGTGTCTAGCAAGATTGTTCGAATAAGCGTAAATTAGTAAGAATCGATAACTATATTTTGTATGAGTAAGAAACATAAATATAAGAAAATCATTGATATTCAATGGAAACACGCTACATCGAATTTTAAGATTGCAAAGTTTGTTCCGTTTTTACACAAGTCGAAACATCCTGTCGCGAAAACACATTAAGCGAAGGATAAAAAGTTGCGTGCGTAACATTTTAGATTTGAAACAGCAATATTTGCCGATAAACATCGTACGTCTAACTAATTTGCAATGCGGAATAAATACAAATTACAAAGCAATATTGACATAAAATGGAAATCACTTTTACAACTGGAACTAAGTACGGCATTTTGTCAAACACCATGCGTGGAAATATGATTGACCGAAACACACAACTTCAAGAAATGAGAATATGAGACTACACGTACCTTGCTTGAATGTATATTGTGTCAAAAGTTCTAGAACATAAAACAGAGCCATTAATTTATTTTTTTGCCGAGATAAAAGAGAACCATTGATGTAATATAGTTTGTCAAGGATTCGGTAAATTCTATTACACTGGGATAAACTAAGATCAAATGTGGTCGTGCCGGAGTGGTTATCGGGCATGACTAGAAATCATGTGGGCTTTGCCCGCGCAGGTTCGAATCCTGCCGACCACGTTTTTGTAGTTTAAGCATTTTATGTTTCTGATCTAATTGAAGCACCATTTTCTCTGGAAATTAGTTAAATAGTCTAATTTAAAACTCACAATATTTAATCATCGAGTGGTCGTGCCGGAGTGGTTATCGGGCATGACTAGAAATCATGTGGGCTCTGCCCGCGCAGGTTCGAATCCTGCCGACCACGTTTTTTTTATAATTCATTTCTTAATATATATGCCTCTTAATCCATATATTTTTTGAGGATAAAAAAGAAAGAAATGATCATAGGTTTAGGTCTCGTTTTTTAAGAAATGATTAATCAAACTAGAATTTATATTGTATTGGCACGAATATGTATTTCGAGAGGATATCTTAGTTAATCCTTTTTTTTTTTTTTTGCTGAACTTGGCCAATCAAGACATGTTTTCGACGCGATCTATAGCTCCAAGTTGTTCAAATTCTGCAGATTTGTTTTTAGCAAATTGACGGATGACCGAATTACATTAATTAAAAATAAAAATAACTTTTGAGCCCCTATGAATGTGTGCCGATAAAATAGAACCAAAGACAGCGACCCGTGTGCATCAAAATCATTACATTGCCATTAATACAAAACAAATTAAAACCAAAAAAAAAAAAAATCGAAAAAAAAAGCTATAGAAAAAAAGAATGTAATATGATGATCAGAAGCAGAAGGAAAATAGTCACAGGATTGTACAAAGAGTGGTTGAAATGGTTCCAATGCTGAGTCCTACCTCAAGTGTTGCTAGTGCAGTTTTCCACATTTCCTGCAAATTAATTAAAATCATATTCACCAAACTATAAAATTCGATACACGGGATCATGCATAATTTAACTAATTAATTATTATATACCACATCGATCGATAATCGGAAAACATTTGTAGCGAATTAAAGGCATACTCACCATATGTGTTGCTGGAACAATGGCATGATGATGATTATCAGGCGTTTGAGGAGGAGGAGGAGTCCAGGGTTGTGGCTGTGGTCTATTACTATGATACACTACCTGAGTTGCATGTGTTGTGTGCGGACTGCTTTGCTGAATGTAATAATTATATCAGAGATTTTATTACTTATGGATTAATAATTCTATCCTTGCTTATCTCATTATAACAACATATATATATATAGTATTACAGCTAATTAAACCTCTAGAGATGGGACTAACAAAATTTTATTAATTTAACTAAATATTAAATTATCGAATTAATAATTTGATGTGTTTTTACCAAGTCGGGACTATAAAAATTTATTAATTAAGCGAGGTTATTAATTTATCGAATATTGATTTATTGTGGTTCTATTGTACCACATTCTCCTATATAGACACTTGAATTTAGAGTTATACTAATTACAAATTAACACATTAATTAAACTGTAAATAGGGTAGTTTATGTAATTTGTAATTTGTGATCAGAAGGAATATGTACACTTGAATTTAGAGTTATACTAATTACAAATTAACACATTAATTAAACTGCCCCTATAGTTTCACCTATTTACATAAACTACCCTATATTATAATTAACTCTATATATGAATTTAATTGCAAGGGTTTATCTCTACGTACAAAACAAAGACAATCAACTTATAAAAATAAAACAGATTAATTACTATATATCTTTAATTTTTTTATAACTTCTGGTCTTTTTTTTTTTTTTGAGTTAGACATGCATGAGTTGACTTTATTAATTACCTAAAAAGTCAAACCCTAGCCTTAACATAACAAGATCAATATTAATTAATAAATTACCTGATGATGATGATGATGATGGGGATGATGATTCACATCTGCAGGTCTTGGTGCTGATCTCCCATTGGCCGAAAACCGCTTCTTCGTTTCGAGCAAAGTGAAAGCATCCAGAAACTGCTGGCGGCCGCCATGGTTGTGGTCACTCTTGTTCGACCTGTAACAAAGGATACACAAGCTGTAAGCACCGGCGGGGCTGTCGAAGCACTCCACGCACGAGAAGAAAGTCCCGGTTACGAGGATCCCGCAGCACTCGCACACCGGCCGACCACTCTTGACGATGTAGTAAAGCGTCAGCACTTCCCAGAAATCCAGGCTGCCATTGCCGTTGCTGTCGAGCTCCCTGAAGAAGTAAGGGTTCGCCAGGCGCACGTGGCCCTGCTCCTTCATCAGCGACAAGAACTCGTTGATGCTCACCCTCCCGTCGCCGTCGCTGTCTAGGGTTTTGAAGAATTCGTACGCCAGCGCCTTCGCCGCCGGCGGGCTCGCCCTGTAGTGGGCATCTGCTATCGCGCGCAGTCGCTCCATTCAGATCTAGAGAGAGAGGGGGTTACTCGATCTGGGTTTTTACGAAATAAATAATATAAAAGGACTTCAGAGTACGAAATTATTTTTTGCAGGGACGGTGTCGTTATTTTGATAATATTTAAATGTGGCGTTGACTTGACTTCACATGCTAATCTAATTGGAATTGTGTTGAATAAGTCTAATTAAACATTGTTAAAAAGCAACTAATCTGCGATTATGTCTTCATAAATTGTATATAGTAATTGAAATAGGGCCGACTTGAAGTATATATTCAATCATTTGTGAGAAAATATAGTCTTGAGCAATTTTTTCATTTTTTTCTTAAATTTTATTTGGTAAAAGATAATTGTAGAGTACAATGTACCGCGATATCGTATTAAAACCAACTGTATATCGAATGTTTTGGTACAGTAATGTTGTAAAATATATTTTTACCATAAGTCACGATAAGTACACGATAACGCTAAAAGAATTCCATATCCCTACAATAAGATTCCATCGATCCAATGGGCCGAGCACAATGGACCACTGACGAACCTTATGAAAACCCATAACCATGAAAGTCCAGTAGTCTCATGCCCACAAATACAACACATATGTTATTTTCTTTCAAACGTTTCCGTCTTTCGAATACGTTTCGTGTCTGTCCGACACTCGAGAACACTTGCCGAACATCTCATAGGTTATTTTGCAATTTCTAAAAAAATAGGGATATGATCGAATAACAAATTTTGCTGTTTTTCTAAATATTTACGTGATTTAATGATCAATTTTGCAATTGATCATTAAATAATGTAAATAATTAGGGAAGCAAAACAAACATTTGAAAGTTCACTATTCAAATATATTAAATTTCTGACTTTTTCAAATATTGCAAAATCGCCCAAATATTGTGTCAGGCAGGTGTCCTCGAGTGTCGATCGGACACCAAAACGTGTCAAAACACGAATACCTTAGAGAAAGTTGAAGTTTTCGTGCTACTTTAGATAATAATTATTTAATTTTATGATCAACCATGCACCAATTTATGTCGCTTCCAGTCAACTTTAATATTGACCACAAAATTCATACAAGATCATCAATGTTTCTATCACCACTTGTTACATGCATTTAACATATGGCTATAACTTCAGTCCGATGTATATATTATAGCTTGTAGATCAAATTTATTTTGCAGATTCAAACGGTGAGATTTAAGGGCTAGAGATGTGATGATTGTGACAGTGGTCCCGGGGCCCCGGGCAGTTAAATGCTACGCACCTTGTTATTTATACCGGGTCGATTTAAATCGTAGATTTAATTAAATAACTATCTACTATGCACATATACACATGAGTGTGAGTGTGCGTGATTATACATAGATATACGGTTTAAATCTATTCAGTGTAAATAATCAGGTGTAGCATCTAATTTTCCATGGTTTCGGTATATTAAGAAACTTTTTTTTATAAGAAAATATTTTTTTCTAATATATATATATATATATATTATAATATTAAGCATGCCAAGTTTTATATATATATATATATATATATATATATATATATATTATAATATTAAGCATGCCAAGTTTTATATGTTGGATTTATTTATGTAGCAAAAAATATCGGGAGTTAAAATTTTAAAAATATAATTACAATTTGAAAAATATTATACTATGCTATTATTATGGGGAGTTAAAATTTTAAAAATATAATTACAATTTGAAAAATATTATACTATGCTATTATTATGTAAAATATATTTCTCCAAGTTCTATTCTTGTATCAATTTACCATGTAATCAGTTAAGCTATATCGTGTAGAATAATAGTCTTTAAATATATTATTTAGATGGATTGTTTTTTGTCGATTGGTTACAAGACAATGGATTGGGGCACAATGGAATATCTTCTATTAAAAGTATCGAAAATATGAACATGAACAATTTTATCAGAATTTATATAGCATTATTTTAGTATACTTGAAACAAAAGACAAACAATACAAACATGCATTAATTAATCATTCATACATTCCAATTTCTCTATCCCATTTTGTATTTCAATCTTCGGCTGCATAACATGTTACGCACCTTAGATTGTAACTAATAAAAATGGAATCACACAACATCAAACCCTAATACATATTATTACCGTAGATCTATCTATTACCTGGTGATCAATGCTTCACCAGCTAAATTTATTACCGTAGATCTACATTCTACACATACTCAGACATATATTAAGGGTAGGCCTCGATCACGGAAACGACGGTTTTGATGTTTACGACGTTGTGCCTACTAAAGCCAGCCTCTTCAAGAAGATATGCCCATTCTTTGTAAGTCCTCTCCTTTCCCTTCACCATAACCGACATCATAACCATATCCAACGATAAACGAGCACCCGCGTACTCGTCTCCTTCTCCATCTTCGTCTATTACGGCTTCCACAATCATCACTTTCCCGGTATCTTTCGGAATCGCGTCTTTGCATTTCTTCAGGATGTCGATGCACGCTTCGTCGCTCCAGTCGTGCAATATCCACTATATTATATTACCATGCATGCATCAAAAGGAAAACAAAAATCGGAATGAATTGATTAAGATCAACGTAAAAAAATATATGGTCTTGTATCGAATTTGTTACTATATGTATAAATAATTAATGTACCATGAGCATAACTGCATTGGAGTTTGGGATATTTTCGAACATGCTTCCTCCGACGAAGTGGATCCCTTCAAGAGGCGGCGCGTGGTCGACAATTTTGGGGAGATCGAGAACAGTGCCGCGGAGCCATGGAAATGCCTTGACCAGCATGCTCAGTGCCATTCCATGGCGGCCGCCGACGTCCAAGAGGGTTTCTATTCCTTCGAAACCCTCCGGGAAGTTATCGATGACCGCCTGGGTCGCAACCCTAGCGTGGGCCGCCATGGAATCGGTGAAAACCTTCATGTGGTAACCGAAGTCCGGCACCGACCACGTGTCCTCCCCGTTGACGGACTTCAAATCCGGGCGCCTACCGGTCCGCAGGGCCTCCGGCGTTATGCCGCGGTTGGGCCCCGGCGGCGTCCCCTGAAGCAGCATGAACGGCGCCAGGTTGTCCCTCGTCAGAAGCCCCGAAAGCGGCGTCGCAGCGTAGTGAACCTCGTCGGAGGAGGAGGACTCGGCATGCGGCGGCGGAGGAGATGTCTTGAAGATGCGGTGGTGGATCAAGAATCTCATGATGCGGTGGAGGGGTTCGGTGGGGACGCCCACAGCGGATGATAGCTCAGAGAGGGAGACTGGGCCGCCGGCGCCGGCGCCTGCATGCTTCCTCACAATGTCCGGAATCTCGAGCTCGACGGCGCACTTGACTACCCTGCAATTTATATACCCAAACGCGTAGTTCCACACTTCTGCTCGTGCACGCGCTTCTTCGTCCAATCCCATCTCTAATTTTTCAACTTTCCTTTTTTGGCTTATTAAAATCCAATCAAGTATACTGTATACCCAATATATAATATGTCTCTATATTCCAAGATATATATAGTTGTCATTTGTCAAGTATATTGCTCCACCCACACACAAACTTTATATAATGCTTACATCGGGTGAAATATATATATATATTTGTTATTTATATTCCTATTCAACCATAAATAATCAATTCAGTGGTGATTTAAGATGTTTTTATCGAAAATTTGTGTTTCTCGACCGATTCACCGATTTCCGAATTTTGGTCACTTAACCCCGATTTGTCAAATATATAATATGTCTCTATATTCCAAGATAGATATATATAGTTGTCATTTGTCAAATATAATGCTCGAACCAACACACAGTTTTACACAATGCTACATCGGGTGAAATATATATATGTATATTTGTTATTTATATTCTTATTCAACCACAAATAATCAACTAAGTGGTGATTTAAGATGTTTTGATAAAAAATCGGGTTCGATGACCGATTCACCGGTTCCCGGATTTTAGTCACTTGAACCCCGATTTTTAATTTTTCTGGTTTTAAAGATCAGACCGGACCGCCTCATTGTCGGGTCAAGGTCGAACCGGTCCGAACCTTTGGGTAGGTGGTGGGTATGTCTAATCACCTCACCCACCTACCTACTTACCATAATTAATCAATTGAGTACTTGAGTTTCTCTCTATATAATAATTACCTGTTTTTAGGTGATACGTTGATCGGGATAATTTGAATTGAAATTAATTGCATTAATTCCACATTTATTGATAGCATTGTTCCCACCAAATTTATACAGCAGCAAGGCCCACACTAGGGGTGAAAGTCGGATGGATCGGATCGGAATTAGCCTTTTCGGAAAATTTCCAAAAAAATTCGGAAGTACAAAATCAATTTCAATTCCAATTCCAAAATTTTCGAAATCTAAAAATTCATTCCAATTCCAAAAGGCCCGGAAATTTCGGAATTTCGGAAAAAATCGGAAATCACATAAGCTTGAAAATTTCAAAACTTAGCCGAAATTTTCTAAAATGTTCATAATTTTTCGAAAATAAGAGCATCCACGTCGATAAAAGTAAAACTAATAACTACTAAATTTCAGTTCAAAAAAAATAAAACAAAAATAAACACAGCATAATATCCAATAAAACTTCTAACAACAATTCATTATGTCAAAATCCTAAAACAAAACTTATAGGTGTATTTTTCGGAAAATAAGTGTCATATAATATATACTATTTATATGTGTATTTTTCGGAAAAATATCGGAATTTTTCGGAATTAATTTCGGAATTAAATCGGATCGAAAATCGGAAATTCCAAATTTATTTTATATAATTCCAATTCCAATACAAAAAAATCGGAAAATTTCGGAAATCGAATTTCGGAAGTCGGAATGAAAAAAGTTGTTCCAAAATTGGAACTTTTCGGATCAGAACCGACGGAAATTGGAAAATCCGTTCCAACTTGCACCCCTAGCCCATACGTGCATCTGCATAGCATTGAAATCGTGCCATAGATTTTATAACACTGTGGTCACTCAAGTACTCAACTATATTCCTTTATAAAAGAAAAAAAAAAAAAAAATTATTCAACCATTTTTTTTTTAAATTACGACCACTCCTGAGGTATGATAAAATTACGAAAACGCCCCTCCTGTTTGGGTAATTACAACAATCTCCATCAACTATAAATCTTCTTGTACGTCTACCATTGAGGTTTCAAATTTAGTGGAATCTTCTTGGTTATACGGAATATTATCACTTTTGTATCTGTTTTATCCCATTTAAGATCCACATTTTGAAACTAGATGATCATAAGATATGTTTTTTGGCTTGTATATATCAGATTGTGGTGCATCATAAATTGTATTTTTACACAAAACGAGTACAAACTACAGCACATTCCACAAAATCTAGATGATTATGTTGAATTTGACATCATAAGTGTTGAGGTGTAAGAAGATTCATAGTTGAGGGGGTAGATGTAATTATCCAAACAAGAGGGGATTTTCGTAATTTGACAATACCTCAGGGGTGGTTCTAATTTACCATTTTTTTATATTTAGGGTAAATTTCACTTTACCCCTTGTACTTTGGCTCGATTTCATTTTGTCCGCTCCTACTTTCGATTGCATTTATTTGCCCCATGTACTTGAAAAATTATCTCAATGTGACTCTCGTTGTTAGTTATCATACATTTAACCTTAAGACCGTTTGGTTTATGCTCTGAAAATTACAAAAACAACCACCTCTAAGAAATTAAAAAACAGAAAAAAAATAATAATAATTCAAAACAACGAGAAAACATAGTTCACGACGGCAGCCACAATTTATTTTTAAATAATTATTTAAACTGAGAGGGGTGGTTTTTTTTTTTATAATTTTCGGACTTAGATCAAACGGTGTTAATGCCAATTGTCTGAGCGAGGGCCACATTGAGATATTTTTTTAAGTATAGGGAGAAAAATCAATACAGTAGTTAGTATAAGAGGGTAAAGTACTATCGAAACAAAATACAAAGAGAAAAATGAAATTAATTTATCCTAAATTAATTAAGTGTAAGTCGGCGCTATAGACACCCGCGGGGCTGTCGAAGCACTCCACGCACGAGAAGAAAATCCCGTGTACGAGGATCCCGCAGCAGTCGCACACCGGCCGACCACTCTTGACGATGTAGTAAAGCGTCAGCACTTCCCAGAAATCCAGGCTGCCATTGCTGTTGCTGTCGAGCTCCCTGAAGAAGTAAGGGTTCGCCAGGCTCACGTGGCCCTGCTCCTTCATCAACGACAAGAACTCGTTGATGCTGACCCTCCCGTCACCGTCGCTGTCTAGGGTTTTGAAGAATTCGTACGCCGCCGGCGGGCTCGCCCTGTAATGGGCATCTGCTATCGCGCGCAGTCGCTCCATCTAGAGAGAGAAAGTTAGAGAGAGAGTACTTGATCTGGGTTTTTACGAAATAAATAATGCAATAGGACTTGAAAGTAATAAATTAATTTTAGCAGGGACGGTGTCGTTATTTTGATAATATTTAAATGTGGCGTTGACTTGACTTCACATGCTAATCTAATTGGAATTGTGTTGAATAAGTCTACTTAGACACTGTTAATTGATTTACATCAAGCAACTAAGCTACGATTATGTCTTCAAATTGCAAATAATTAAGACCTCGAGACATAAACTAAATAAAATGAAAGTTGTGAAGATTGGATTAGGGGTATTTATAAGTGAAAATAATTATTCAGAAAATTTTCAAAATTTCAAAATTCAAAAAAAAAATCAAAATTCAATGTTTCTTTTAAATTACATGGGTTGAATCGTAATTTTTTATATTTTTCAAAATTAAATATATATGTATTTGTTATTAGTGGGGTTTTTTATTATTAATAATAGTGAAAATGACAATTAAAATGATTAATCCCGAATTTGGATTTTAGTGATTTTGTGAAAACTTGAAAAAAATAATATTTTTGAGTAGAGAAAGTAAAATACAAGTGTTTTTGTGGATGGAAAAATTACTTCTCCTTTTGTTTTTCTTGTCTTGCTTACAATCATCTCTACTACTCCATATTTATAGTGAGGAGTACATTAATCTACCAATAAATTACAAAATAACTCACAGACTAACAACTCTTTTAATTCTAATTTAATACTTAGGAAAATCAAAAGACAATTGTCTATACATCTAGACAATAGTGCTTCAAATTCACATTTATTCAATCCTCCACTTCTTCCAAATGAATGCCCACTTCTTCCAATATGAATGCCACTTATAATTTCAATATTGAATTCACATTAATTCAATTTATTCCAACAATATATATATATATATATATATATATATATATATATATATATATATATATATATATCTCTGTATAGATAGTAGCCTAAAAGTCTCGCTTTTAGCTACATAATTTTATTATTGAATTAATAAAAGTTTATTATCATTTTATGAAAATCTGCACTAGGGTATTTAATGCATTTAATTGATTAATTGTTTGTCAATTAATTAAAAGTATAAGTGTAATATTCTAATAGTATTCGAGATGGTGTGCTACGGCGCACAGAAAGATCATTTCAAAAGTTCGTTAGAATATAAAGATAAACGTTCACAATTTAGATGGAAATGGACTAACCATTGGTAAAAGATTGTAGCACAATATTTAAGTGATTGGTCTTGATCACAGTAAACAACGAATAAATTTTGTAGTTATTGTTTTGACTTATTGTGCTAGCACACCCGGCATGTGTTGAACCGGACAAAGTGAAATAATTGTTTCATCACTGTTAAAAATGAAAAACTGTATTATTAATAGTTGACAGTAAATTACTTAGTCTCTTAATCCCTAGATAATTAACGTACATATTTAATTGATGATTTCTACTTTGATGTCACAATGGGAGAGATTCCTATATTGAGTCAAATGGCCCCCGGTGCGTTGGGTAGAGACATTAAGAATTAAAAGGTGGAAATTAATTATCGAAAGGAATCCACATCTCTGAAATATGGGATTGATAATAACCATTGAGTAGCTTATAAGATTTGTTTATGCCAAGTCCTGGCCAGGTGGATTTCGTATCCGGCATACTCAAATAAGTTAAGTGGGTAAGACCCATGAAAAGAAACCATTTAATTTATTTAGCAGTGAATAAATTATTTGGTGGTTATAAGATATCATAATATGGGGAGAATCTAAGTAATAATCGACCGGAGCTCGAATGTAATATTTGAGAATATAAACGGGAGTTCAATAATTATTTGGTAGTGGAAAATAAATAATTATTTAATGATTAATTAAATGAATTATTTTAAGACTTTGGATTTAATTAATTATTAGTTGCCCGATTTATATTTTCTCCTTTAGTCCCTATTGCAGCCCAATGGATTTTTCTAATTAATCGAGAAAATAAAGTTCAACCGATATTATATTTTGGAATTAATATAGCCGAAAATTAAGTTCTCACTGGACTACAATTTTCGACTATATAGAGTTATAGAAGGAGTGGGATTTGTTTCCATGTAATCCTCTCTAAGTGAGACTTTGATTGCCTGTGCTATATATAATAGATATTAGGTTGATGAGAAATAAGTTTTTACACACGCCTATTTCACGTGAAGAGAAAATATTTTTCTCTTCTTATTTTCTCTCTAAATTTCTCGATTATAGGTTTAGATTTCTTCAAGTACAAGTCCACCCTTGTAGAAGAATTATTAATTCGGGATATACAATAGAAGTTTATAGGTTTTTAGAGCAAACTATAATTCCCGAATTTTCTAAGCAGTCCTGCGAAGAAAATCACAATAAATCAACCGTTAGTCGGATAGACTCGAAATTTATACAGTAGCTTCCGAACCCTTAGATATACAATCCGCCCGAAAATCACCATAAATCAACCGTTAGATGGATAGACTCGAAATTTATACAGTAGCTTCCGAACCCTTAGATATACAATACGCCTGAAGGGTTTCTCGATCGGATCAACGATCGCGGAGATATCGGTGAAGGAAGAGAACTGGAAATTTCTGGACAACAGCTTTTACGAAGGTTGAAGGCTTGACTTGACGTGGATCCTCGTTCGTGCGCCGAAGATAGAAACGAATCTGCTCACGCGAAAACTCTAAGTTGCTAGATTAGATTTATTCCGCTTTAAACGAATCTAATCAAAGCATGTTAATAAAATTAAAACCGGCTAATCTAAAACCTCTTGCGAATTTTCATTGAATCATGGGATTCACATCCCAACACACACAAAATCAACTCAGCGGTAATTTAAGATCTTTTGATCGAAAATCGGGTTACTTGACCCAATTCACCAGTTCCGGAATTTTGGTCACAAGAACCCAATTTTTAATTTTTCTTGTTTTAAAGATCAGACCGAATCGCCTCATTGCCGGGTCAGGGTTGAACGGGTCTAATATGCCAGTCCGATCGAGTTTGTAGGTGGTGGGTATGTTTAATCACCTCACCTACCCACCTACCAACTTACCATATTTGAACAATTCAGTATTACTTATGTGTTTCTCTCTATATAAATAATAATTTCCTTTTTTAGGTGATACATTGATGGGTAATTTGAATTGAAGTTAATTGCATTAATTCCACATTTATTGATAGCATTGTTCCCACCAAATTTATACAGCAGCAAGGCCCAGGGCCAGACCTAGGGGTGGAAATCGGACGGAATGGATCGGAAATACCTTTTTCGGAAATTTTTCATTTTTTTTCGAAAGTTAAAAATAGGTTCCAATTTTCATTCAAAAAAAATCGGAATTTCAAAATCCATTCCAAATTCGGAATACCTCGGAATCGGCGGAATTTCGAAATTTTCGGAAATTGCATTAAGTCTTAATTTTTTGTTCCAAAATCGGAAATAATGGTAATTTTAAGATTTTATTTCCTAATGTTTTCGTAATTTTTCGAAAAAATGCAAGAATCTAAAACAAAGGTCAATAAGATGAAATTTAAACACTTGTAAAAACACACATAATCAGCTTATCAAAGCAAACATAGTTCTTGCAAAACATGAATAGAAAAACAATTCATAAATACAACAATGCATAACATTTACATTTTTTATATAACATATTATATATATCATACATTATATATTTCGGAAATAAAATCGGATCGGAAATCGGATCGGAAATCGGAATTTCCAATAATTTAATATGTAATTCCAATTCCGTTCCAAAAATAATCGGAAAAATCGGAAATCGGAATATCGCAATGAAAAAACAAGTTCCAAATTCGGATATTTTCGGATCGAAATTAACGGAATTCGGAAATTCCATTCCAATTTTCACCCCTAGCCAGACCTGCATCTGCATAGCATTGAAACCGTGCCATAGATTTTATAACATTGTGGTCACTCAATTAGTATTCAACTATATTCCTTAATCCAAAGGTTAAAAAAAAAAAAAAAATACTCAACCATTTTTTTTTTTTTTTGTAAATTACGACCAACTCAGAGGTATGATAAAATTATGAAAACTCTCCTCCAGTTTTATAATTATAACAACTTCCCTCAACTTTAAATCTTTTTACACGTCCACCCTTGCGATTTTAAATTTAGTGGAATCTTCTTGATTATATAGAATATTATCACTTCTGTACCCGTTCAAATGTAATATGATGATCGATCAAAAGCAAAATGGTCACAGGATTGTACAAAGAGTGGTTGAAATACTTCCAATGCTGAGTTCTACCTCAAGTGTTGCTAGTGCAGTTTTCCACATTTCCTGCAAATTAATTAAAATCATATTCACCAAACTATAAAATTCGATACACGGGATCATGCATAATTTAACTAATTAATCATTATATACCACATCGATCGATAATCGGAAAAAAATTGTAGCGAATTAAAGGCCGCGCGATATATAATAGTTGTACATGCATGCAGTTGCATTAAATAATAATACTCACCATATATGTTGATGGAACAATGGCGTGATGATGATCAGGCGTTTGAGGAGGAGGAGTCCAGGGTTGTGGCTGTGCTTCATTGCTATGATACACGTGACTTGCATGTGCTGTGTGCGGACACGTGACTTGCATGTGCTGTGTGCGGACTGCTTTGCTGCATGTAATAATTTTTATCATATTTTATTAGTTAAAAATTAATAATTCTATTGTACCGTTTCATTGTTAAGATAAGATTAGCCAAAATAAGATTAAATAGTCTAATGAAATCCAATTATTTTATTGGAGCTTGCAACGTCCAACAAAAAAAACTTATTAGAAGGTAAGAATATAAGCCAAGATAAGCCATTTTTATATAATTTTGGCGGATCAACCCGGTAATTTATTGGGGATAATAAACATCAAATTACGTCCAACTATTTAATTAATCATGCACCATGGATTATCATGAATTATCTTGGATTTAAAGTTATACTAATTATT